CTCCTAACAGTAGTACTATGTTTAATATTATTATATTGCTAATTTTTCACGTTTACGAGTGTATAAATTCTATTATAGTAACATTTGCGTAGACTCATCAAAATCGTAGAATTCAAGCATTCTCGTGTGACATCACTTTTTCGGTGTTTATATCTGCAGCTTCTATATATATCGCAAATAATTTATTTATCTGTTACATTATTTTTCTAAATCTGAAATAATTGTGGTAAATATAAATAAATAATTGTGGTAACTATTCAGTAATAGTAATAACTATTCAGTAATAGTAATAACTATTCAGTAATAGTAATAACTATTCAGTAATAGTAATAACTATTCAGTAATAGTAATAACTATTCAGTAATAGTAATAACTATTCAGAGTCAATTTCAATGTTCAAGATTAGTTTCTGTATCGTCTTTTCTTTTGACAGTCGTGAAGTATCGTTAATCAGAGGTAACTGCACTTTTCCTGCAAACTTTTCCTACGATACCCAAAAAGTTTCCATTATCCTGTTAAAATCAGGATCTGTTGAAATTGCCGACAATTATTTCGTCGACAATCATTTCACCGACAAGTTTAGATCTCCGACAATTATTTCATGGACACCGAGTTTTACCAACAATATTTATATCCGTACCGTCGACCTTTACTGCGTACAGTGGTCAGTGTTCGCGTTATGTTACGCATTAAATATGTACAGTGACTCGCATTAATACTCGGACACGATATTATTAGAAGAATTATTGCTCTTTTTTATTGTTTATGATAGTATTATAGAATCATTTGTTTTCTCATATAATAAAGCACTTCTTAAAGTAAGTAGAAACATAAATTTTGTTTATTTATTGCACATGCCCTTTTGCATAATAAGCGATGAACAAGATTGTGACAAAATTTAACGTCGCAAAAATATTCGGACATTGACGACGACGCTAACACACATTGTTTATAAACAAATTTTATAAACAATTAAAAGTTCGTTGTGAGAACCCGGTACCACAGAAAGTATTGGTGATATCGGACGCTATACTTGTGAAAATGGGATGAAAAGGAAGAAATATGTCTTTTGAAATCCGACAATTGGTTATTTATCACAAGGAAGAGGGAAAATCATACAGAGATATAGCCAAATTATTAAATATAAGCAAGAGTAGTGTGGCAGATGTTACACATCGGTACATTCGTGAGGATTGAATCGATTTAATCCTTCAGAAAGTTTGTCCAAAATTATTAGACTCTCGCGACAAACGCAAGATAATAAGAAAAATAAGAAAAAATTCTCTGGACAAAGTACTACAAAATTAACAAAGGAGTTGTTCGCAGAATCTGGGAAGAAGGTACACCCGGATACAGTGCGAAGGGTATTAAAAACTTATGGTGACAACGGAAGAGTTCCTCGTAGAAAGCCATACATAAATGAGCAAATCGCAAGAAAAGATTGAGCTTTGCAACAGAATATTTTTACAAAGACAACTGGTGATGGAATGATGTAATGTTTTCGGATGAAAGCAAATTTAATCTTTACGAATCCAACAGTCAAAGAATGGTGTGGCGTAAAGTAAATACAGAATTAAACATTTCAAATTTAAGACGGACAGTGAAACACTGTGAAGGGAGTGTAATAGTGTGGGGGGTTATATCTCGTCTGTAGGTGTAGATGATCTAATTTTTATCGATGGTATTATGGACAAAATGAAGTATTTAGACATTTTTTAAAAAAATTTAATTACGTGTGCTATAAATATGGGTATACGTAACAGTTTTAGTTTTATCAGGACAATGATCCTAAACACAAGGCCAGAATTGTACAGGAATATTTATTATACAATTATCCAAAAGTACTGCATTTTCCTCCTTAATCGCCTGATTTAAATCCAATTGAAAATTTATGAGATCAATTGGACCGCAAAATTCGTACAACACCTACAAGGACAACAACAAAGATAAAACAACGTTTATTAGACGAATGGAAACGGATTTCACCGGAGTATTTAAATAAAATCATCTGTAACAAACCCAAGCGATTACATGAAGTAATAAAATAAAAGGGTCAACCGAAAAAATATTAATATTATGATAACATGATTAAAAAGATTTTCATTTTATATAAAATTAATGTAATTCACATTCACTGTGTCCGAATATTTTTGCGACGTTAAATTTTATCACAATGTTCTTTATCACTTATTATACGAAAGAACATGCGCAATAAATGAACAAAATTTATGTTTCTACTTACTATAAGAAGTGCTTTAATATATGAGAAAACAATTGATTCATTAATACTATCATAAGCAATGTGTTAGTAATATCGTGTCCGAATATTAATGCGAGTCACTGTATCTGCTAATAAAATTAATAAAGTTAATAAAATTTATAATATATTATGTATTTATCCGTTATTAACACATTCTGTGCCACGTGTACCACCGATGGTACATGCTTACATATTTGTTTAATACGGTAAAAAAATAGTTTTTAACAAATTTAGAACCGAAAAATTAATTTCTACCACAAGAATAGGTCATAATAAGTTTGTTTCATTGTTATATATATATATATATATATATATATATATATATATATATATATATATATATATATATATATATATATATACA